GAGCCAGAGCCAGATCCAGAGTTTGAGCCAGAGCCAGAGCCAGAGCCAGAGCCAGAACTTGAACCAAATCCGGAGAAGACTGGCGCAGCAGGAGGCGGAATGCCGAAACCCGATGTGGCAGCAGGTGTTGAGCCGAAGCCAAAGGATGAAGTTGGCTTGGATTCAAATGCGGATGTACTTGATGTTGCTGATGCTGCAGTTGATGATGACAGCGATGATGATGATGCTGACGATGATCCAAAGAGTGGTGCTGAAGTTGAAGTTGGAGGCTTCTCGTTGGATGATGACTGAGAAGCTGTGCTGCCAAACATTGGAGCCGAGGTGGTTGATGAAGATGATGAGCCAAATGTAACTTGAGGCTGGGATGAAGATGGCTTCTGTGGCTCAGATGTAGATCCAAACAAAGTGGATGATGGTTTATTGCCAAACAGACTGCCACTGCTACTAGTGGTTGCAGTGTTAACAGTGATGTTGCTAGCAGAGGCGGAGGCAGGGGCCGGTGTGAAGGATGGTGCCGAAGGCTTGGATGATTGACTGCAAAATGAGAATGAACTACCGCTGGAGGAACCAAATGCTGACGATGAAGACAGTGATGATGCCTGGACAGGGGCAGCTGAAGACTTGGTATCTTCGCCTCCAAACTTGCTTGAGCTGGTATTAGTTCCAAAGGATACATTACTGCTACTGGGAGCTGAAGATAATCCAAACAACGAAGTTGAAGAAGAGGTGGCTGGTTTATCATCAGACTTTGTGGCCGGAACTGCTGGAACTGCTGGAACTGTCGGAAGCGTTGAGGTGCTACCTGTGGCACCAAATGGGAAGGTTGGAGCTGCTGCTGCTGGAGTTGGAGCTGGAGCTGGAGCTGGAGCTGGAGCTGGAGCTGGAGCAGTAGTTGAGGTAGAGGCTGAAGTACCAAAGAGAGATGGCCCTTTTGAAGTGGATACTGAGCCAAATGACACTGATGGGCCGCTGGTGGAAGTAGTGGTGGCGGAGGATGATGACAATGACGATGAAGTAGTCTTTGGAGCATCTACATTGCCGAAAAGAGAAGAACCAGAGGATGGCAGCGCCGATGTTGGTGCAATAGTGCCACTGGATTTTGATCCAAACAGACTTGGTGCTTCAGATGTTGTTGCAGTATTGGCAATGGCGGTAGTAGCAGTAGCAGTAGCAGCAGCAGCAGCAGTTGTTGCAGCAGTGGTAGTCATCAGAGTAGTATTATTCTTTGGACTTGTTGAGATTGATACTGAAGATGGTGTGATTGACTGAGCTGATGCATTATATTCGACTGGCTGAGTTGAAGCGTTTCTGTTCAATGCCGATAAGGCTGCTCTGTAGCGCCATGGACTTGAGTTTGAAACCAATCTGGTAGCACTTGAGAGTCTGGCAAATGCATCTGGCTTACTCTGACCCCATCTATGAACCGATGAGACACTTCTCGCTGTTGTGGGTGTAATTCCAAGATGAGTGGCTGATGATGAAATGCGCATTGAGATACGTGAAGGTGTTTGTTGAATTTGGGCTGGTCTCGATTCACTATCTTGCGACTGCATCTTGATATCATCGGTATCACTCTGATCAAATGTGATTGGTTTACGACGATGAGTCGTAGTAGTAGCAGCAGAAGCAGCAGCAGCAGTCTGTTGTTTGATATTATTTCTAAATGGAGGCAATAAAGCAATGACTTCTTGTTCACGTTTAGACATATTATCACCTGGAATAACCACATCTGGAATGTCTGACTGTTCATTTTCATCATCAACTGCGACTGCAACCCATCCAACTCCTTTAACTTGTACAATACGACGCTTCTTGCTAACAGGAGCTGATTCTTTATTGTTATTATTACCATTTTCAACTCTTCCAGTCTTCTTCACTTTTGGCTGTTTGTTTTCAGTTTCCTTTCCCTTTCCCTTTCCCTTTTCAGATTCATTGGCATTATCCTTTTCATCCAGTATTCTACTTCTCTTCTGACCTCGCACAACTGAAGGCGAGATTCCACCAATAACCGGACGCGGCTCAGTCTCCTCTATATCCATGTGACCATTACTTGCCGTACCATTTTGCACAGTGGCAATGCTTGGTTGAAATGCCGCCTTCTGACGCACAGGTGTCTGAATCAATGCGCCAATCTTTCTTCGAGCTGAAGCCTGCGTCGCTGCTGCTGCTGAGCCGTACAATGATCTCTGCTGAACCTCCATCCTCTCCAACAATGCTGCATGATCCTCTGCCTGCTGACGCTCATGACTGTAAAACAATTAAAGCAGTAAAATACAATACAATACAATACAATGCAATGCAGCGCAATTAAGAGGAAAGTCAGTGTATGCTGTGCTGTGCTATGTTTGTGGATTGTGGATAAATGCAGTAGCTAACTACTCGCTGGCTGAGATGCCATATTCAATGGAAAGCATAAACGTACGCTCGATCGCGCCAGCTCTGTTCAGCTGCAGCGCTGGGTGAATTGAACGGGAAGCTCGCCGCACAGGAGGCAACAAAGCCGCTCACGGCTGATAGAGCTGAGCCTGTTGTCGCACCAAAGAAAGACATTGCTGGTTACACCTTGCAAAGCGTGCAAACAAACAGATCGATTCTGCGAGGGTTGGTTTGGTTATTTTTTTCTTTTCAGCTGGTCGGTCGAGAAAGAAGAAAAAAGGAGAACAAGAAGCAAGCAAAGCAATCGCGTCGTATCGCATCGTATTGAGGCGGGTCAGTGGTAGGTCAAACACAGTGCTCAATACATGCAAGTATGCGGTTGGACGAGAATATACAGCATTGTCATTGTACGATTAACATGAACATGAACAAGCTCTGTGACTCAATGGTTCTCCTTCTGGGAAGGTACTGGCTCGATACCCTGTTTTCTTCTTATTCTTCTTATTCTTCTTCGTCTTCCTTTTTTCAATTATTCTTATTACTCACCGCTATACCGTTGCCAAGAGAATGAACAGTAGCGACTTTGGAGGATTCGAAAGTGACGATCTTGGCGACAGCAGCAGCAGAGGCAGCACGCGTCCGGCACGTCCGTTTGGCTTTGCAGCTATTGAGCCAGAGCCGTTCAATCCCTTTGCAGACGACGAGCCGTCTTACAGCTCTTCGCGCTTTGGCCACAGCGACGGCAACAGAGGCGGCTTGGCAGCTGATGAACACGGCGGCTGGCAATCGCGTTCGCCAACTGCTACATCGCCTGTTGCTGCCACCTTCCATGTTGATGACCCAGCCGAGCAAGAGACGACTGTGGCCGA